GTCACCTAAGATTCGTTCAAAGGTCGTTCATAAATTATGGTCTCGCCTATAAGTAATATGCAACACCAGTAGGAAGCACGATAGCAGAAGATTGAGAAGAGTGAAATGAAGAGGAATGAGAAAACTGAAAGCAATCAAGATAACAACAAAACTGAAGGAAAAATGAAGTTTGTGAGAAACAATTCACTACCATTACCAATACTACTACTACAAATGCTGTAGTGAACAAAAACTCAGTGGGGGGAGACCAATTTATTGTTCAACGCTAAATCACAGTGGTTTCGTAAAATGTGAGAACCATACATTAAGTGCATCATTTGCACATCATCTCTGAAATGTTTCTCTCAAGCTTCATTTTCCCTTCAGTCTCGTTGTCATCCTGATCGCTTCCAGTTTTCACTCTCCTATTGATTTCAGTCTTCTCAATAGTCCACTCTCACGTTTCCTTCTTCCTATTAGTGCTACATACTACTTGTATGTGTCAATATAAGTAGAGTGCAGCACAGTGCTACTAATACTACTATTATTGCTGCTGATAAATCCGCCTGTAGCTGAAGTTACTGCCGGTCCCAAGCCCAGGTAAAGGCGGAGGATCGGGAATGAGGTTAGCGTCCCCATCCCGAAGAAAACTAACTCGCTAAAAAAACGCTTACCAGAAAAAATAATCCAAACCATTTTAACTCTGCCCTGGGAGTTAGAAGGTCTTAATTTAGAAGAATTATGACACTTCATGGTGAAAGTTGAGCTCCTTCTGAAGCCACGAGGCCGATGCCCCTTCTAACAACCAGAGCAAACATTTTTATAGGTACATGGAACGTTCGAACAATGTGGAAAACCGGGAAGGCCAGTCAAATAGCAACGGAAATAAGGAAATACAACTTGGCAGTACTGAGAATCAGCGAAACCCACTGGACCCAAGCTGGACAGAAAAGGCAAATACGGGAGAGATGCTGCTATAAACCGGTCACGAAGAGGACAATGCTCCGCACACTCAGGGAGTGGCTCTAAGGCTGTTCAAAGTAGCACGAAATGCACTTGAAGGATGGGAACCTCACGGATCCAGAATCATCAAAGCATCATTCAAAACAAAGAAGGAGGAGATCACAATGAAAATTATCCAATGTTATGCACCCACCAATGATAGCAACGACGACATTAAAGATCAATTCTACGAGCGGCTGCAGTCAATCATTGAGAAATGCCCAAGAAAGAACCTCACCATTATGATTGGAGATCTAAACGCCAGAGTCGGAATAGACAACACTGGATATGAAAATATCATGGGACGACATGGACTGGGAGAAAGAAACGAAAATGGGGAAAGATTTGCAAATCTATGTGCATTCAACAAATCGGTCTTAGGCAGCACGATATTTCCACACAAACGTATACACAAAGCTATATGGATCTCACCGGACCACACTACAGAGAACCAAATAGATCATATTTGTATCAACAAAAAATTCCGAAGGACAATGGAAGATGTGAGAACCAGGAGAGGTGCTGACGTGGCTTCAGATCACCACCTAGTTGTGGCCAATTTAAAACTGAAGCTAAAAAAGAACTGGACAAGTGGACAAACAGCAATACAAAGGTTCAATACAGCCTTCCTTCGAGATACTGACAAACTAAATGAATTCAAAATAGCTCTCAACAACAGGTTACAAGCCTTACAAGATCTACTGAAAGAAGAAGAAACTAGTATGGAGGACAACTGGAAAGGCATCAAGGAAGCATTAACTTCGACGTGTCAAGAGGATCTGAGTCCAAACAAATATCATCATAAGGAATGGATCTCTACAGAAACACTGGACAAGATCAAAGAAAGGAAGAACAAGAAGGCAGCAATAAACAACAGCCGAACACGAGCAGAGAAAGTCCAAGCACAAGCTGAATACATAGAAGCAAACAAACAAGTGAAAAAAAAACATTAGAACCAACAAGAAGAAATACGTGGAAGAACTAGCAACGACGGCGGAAAAAGCTGCAATGGAAGGAAATATGAAACAGCTTTACGATACAACGAAGAAACTAGCAGGGAAATACAGTAAACCAGAAAGACCGGTCAAGGACAAGGAAGGCAGTCCAATCACTGAAATTCAACAACAGCGTAACAGATGGGTAGAGTACTTCGAGGAACTCCTGAATAGGCCGGCTCCAATGAATCCACCGGACGTCGAAGCAGCACACACAGATCTTCCTATAGATGTCAACCCACCGACGACGGAAGAAATTAGAATGGCCGTCAGATAAATCAAGAACGGGAAAGCAGCAGGACCCGACAACATACCAGCTGAAGCACTGAAATCAGACATCGAAGCAACCACAAGCATGCTTTATCTTCTATTCAAAAAGATTTGGGAGGAGGAACAAGTACCGATGGACTGGAAAGAAGGACACCTCGTCGAGATTTTAAAGAAAGGAGACCTGAGCAAATGTGAAAACTACAGAGGCATTACACTACTGTCAATACCAGGGAAAGTCTTCAACAGAGTGTTGCTGAACCGGATGAAGGATGCAGTAGACGCCCAACTTCGAGATCAACAAGCTGGATTCCGTAAGGATCGGTCGTGCATAGACCGAATTGCGACACTCTGGATCATCGTCAAACAATCAGTTGAGTGGAACTCGTCACTGTACATCAACTTCATTGATTATGAAAAGGCATTCGACAGTACAGATAGGAGGACATTATGGAAACTTCTTCGACACTACGGATTTCCTGAGAAGATTGTCAATATTATCCGGAACTCATACGACTGACTACAGTGCAAAGTAGTGCATGGAGGACAGCTGACAGATGCATTCCAAGTAAGGAGCGGAGTCAGACAAGGCTGTTTACTCTCTCCCTTCCTCTTTCTTCTGGTGGTTGACTGGATTATGAAGACCTCTACATCTGAGGGAAGACACGGAATACAATGGACAGCTCAGAACAAATTAGACGATTTGGACTTCGCAGATGACCTAGCCCTCCTATCGCATACACACGAACAAATGCAGATGAAGACAACTAGTGTGGCAGCAGACTCTGCATCAGTAGGCCTCAGCATACACAAAGGGAAAACTAAGGTCCTCAAATACAACACGGAGAACAGCAATCCAATCACTCTTGATGGCAAAACTCTGGAAGATGTGGAATCCGTCACATACCTGGGAAGCATCATCGATGAACAAGGAGGTTCAGATGCAGACGTAAAGGCGAGGATCGGCAAAGCAAGGGTCGCATTCCTACAATTGAAGGACATATGGAACTCAAAGCAGCATGAAAGTGAGAATTATCAATACGAACGTCAAGGCAGTTCTACTGTATGGAGCTGAAACTTGGAGAACTACAACAACCACAATCAAGAAAGTACAAGTATTTATAAATAGCTGTCTACGCAAGATACTCAACATCCATTGGCCGGATACCATCAGCAATAGCCTTCTGTGGGAGAGAACAAACCAACTTCCAGCTGAAGAAGAAATTAGGAAAAGACGATGGAAATGGATAGGACATAAATTACTCAAATCATCAAACTGCATCACGAGGCAAGCCCTGACTTGGAATTCTGAAAGGAAGCGGAAAAGAGGAAGGCCAAAGAACACATTACTTCGGGAAACAGAAGCAGATATGAAAAGAATGAATAACAACTGGAAGGAGTTGGAAAGGATTGCGCAGGACAGGGTTGGACGCAGAATGCTGATGGGCGGCCTATGCTCCTTCACGAGGAGTAACAGGCGTAAGTAAGTAAGTAGTTACTGCTGCTATGACAGCTACGCATGCTATTACTACAACGAACACAACGACTACTACTACTAGTATGACTACCAGGTCCACGACGATTGCCACGAAATCCACGACTACTACGTCTACTCCTTCTGCTACATCTAATACTATAACTACTGCTAAGGCTACTAAGACTGCTACGTCTACTACCACTACTATTGCTACTAATATTACCACAACTACCGTTAATACAAAATAGTGGAGTTCTACCCAGTAATCAATTATGGACAAAAAGAATAAATGAAAATGTTTTTCACCAATGATTTCTCTCTTTACCTATATATGTATATATATTACCAGTGAAGCAGTTTTCCTTGTTAACTAAGGTCAACTTGTATACTGAATATGATTTTGTCCAATTCATTAGGTCATTTTATCAATGAATGAAAAACAAAAACCCACTATCCAAAATAATTGTAAATATAGACATTAGATAAATGGAGTAAAAACCGTAAATTTCAAAACTATGCTGGGAATCATGTATTCTAATTCACTAATGATCAGTGATTAGTCGAGTCCTGAGTAAACTACAAAATGGAAGGCGGTGGTTAGGCGAAAATTTTAGACATAAGTGCCGTACTAGTTGGCATTTTGTTACAAAGTCATATTTAGGATTTTGAAAAAACTAATGTCCCATGTAGGATTTGAACCCATGTTTATGCAAATCACTTATCAAATGTGAGGTCAAAGTAAGTTCAAGAATTAAATAAGCAAGTATAATAAAATTGGATTGTGACTAGTAGTGGGATCTAGGAGATGTGTTTATTTCTAAATAGGACTCTTCGGCTGGATTCATCTAAAACTCAGTATTGACGTTCGTCCATATTGACACGAGAAACCAGTTTTTAACATTGAGAAAATGTAAACCCTTACAAAAAACATTCATACCCGTTATGCAAGCCAGTAGCTATTAGGATTCAGTAGCTTAATATCTAACACATTAACTTTTGAAGAAAAAAACATAATGCATTCGAGTCGCATTGTTGGCATCGACATCGGTAAGGAGATATATCCAACTTATTGTAGGATTTAATTTGTCCTACAGATATACTACTAGGACCGTAAACGCGATACTGGCGAGCACAGAGTCTATGTGAAAGCTATAGTCAGAACAAGGACAACTTGGCTTTAAATTTTGTCTGTTTCTGAACGTAAAAACAATTAGATTAGTACAATAATTAAGGAAATTACAATTATTAAGTGAAACGCACAAACTTACCAACCAGTATTACGCGTTTTACCGAAGTGAGTAAAATTATGAGTCACATTAATATAATAGGATAATAATGTCTTTCAATTGGTAGGTCACATGAAACAGGGCAGTTTACAGACACATCAGACCAGATCGATGTGGTGGTCGCTTAAACAACGATTTAATTGCTTAGTTATGGACATAACTAACACCTATGATTCCCAAAGAAAACGAAATAAACCTTTTGGATTTCATTCCTAGCCGCTATTTAACTATAGAAAAACTTGGAACTAAATGGCAATACTGAAGCGATCTGTTCAGAGTGATACATGCACTAGTGAAGAATTATGAAATCCAGTCCTTATTATCAAAAAGGAAAAAACTTAAGCCTATATATGTATATACATAATGTATAAATTATGATATGAAAAAAAAAGTAACATGAAAAGTGTGAGGAAATATACATACTAAGAGATTGAAGCACTTAATAATGGAATGGGTGGTTTGTGAGCGATAATACAGTCATATGTTTCATTGAAATCGAATTTTGTTTGTTGTTTTAACCATTCAATTTGATTAAATCCACATGTTTCTAATGCCATCACATAAATTAAGGGATCAGGATTACCATACTGAAACCATCCACGTTGATGTAAATCAGTTAATTGATTTATTTGAAAAGTAGTTACAAGACGTCCATTAGGACGTAGAACTCTCCAAATTTTTTGTAAGCAACACGTTAACGAAGGCCAGAAGTAAAAACAATTCACATGAAAACAAGCATTGATTGAGGAAGGTGGATAATGCAGATGATCTACACTTCTTAATTGTAAGTCAATGCAATCAGTTTTAGTAAGAGGCCATAGTTTCCTGAAATAATTAATTACAATTAGCACGTAAATGATATAACATTAGAAAAATATTAATCTAAGAGTTTATAAATTTTATATTTTGATAGTAATTAAGTTCATCAGTCATATATAGATTGGTAATTTACATTATGGACTGATTGTTGTTAGACAATCATAAAGCATTGGAAAGCTGTTTCACTCTTGTACGGAATTCTTCAACAATGCGTATCCACGATCCTCATCAAAGATAGAATACGCAGGACAATTTTCAGCAATTCCAATGAGTGATGATTGTGTATTATGGCAAACTGATGGAAGTTACTGGGACAAAAGAGATGTTTGGTGCTTCCTGTTTTTCAATGATTGTCTTGCTAAGATCAGTCTGTTGATGTAAACTATGAAACTTAACAATTTCTACAAACATTCTGCAGTAACCTAAAATAAATTTTATTAGTTATAAAACTTTCACTTAATTAGGCAATAGGAATACAGCTGAATAGTGACAGAATACTTTTATGGGTGAGATTTGGATATAACCATTTTATTTAAACCAACTATTTAGGGATGACTTCTGCGTTTGATACTAATATTTATCTCACGGTTGATCAGTATTACCCATTATTCGTTAATATTGATTAACCTTCATGATACTAGACCAGGGATATGCTCATCAGAGCACTAGACCTTCAACCATTGAAATTCAGATTCTAACCATATTTCTCAACGTGAATATGTAGTTGAAAAATTATTACATAAACACATAATCAGTACTAATGACTAATGACAGTAAAGGTAATGCAACTATGATAAAGTGGTGAAATTTTTCATCTCATGAAGGATATTGAATATTTGACAAGAAATAACACACACTTAATTGTACATTTAGGAATATTCGTATTGAACTGATCATTTCAGAAGAGCATCTATCTATTATGCAGCATGTAGATTAATAATCATTAGATTGTGTTAGCAGTATTTCTGATTGCATTGGACCTTAAATATTTGTTCCGTCAAGTGTGAATTGTGGTCAATCAGTCAGTCAGTCAGCTACAACGTAGGACCAGGCACATATATGCATCGGTCCAGGTTGCCATACCTCATTAGCACAGCAAGATGAACACCAGATTCATAAGAGTGGTTAGGTCAAAGGTGGTAATATATAGGAGAAAGATTGCATATAAGGATACAGTACAGGAAGAAAGAATTAGTTCGTAGAAAGAAAGATATGAAGTGATTTTAATCTCTTAGTTTAAGGGAAGACAGGGAGTGTATGCACCGACGCCATTGTGGTCGATTCTGAGCCATGTCACCAAGAGTCTCCAACCATCGGTTACGAAAGTCACGCGGACCCCAACCAAGTAGTCTGCATCTACCAACATGGTTCAGACTAGAGATTAGTGTCTTCAAGCACTGATGCCACGTTTTGGTTTGGCCGCCCCTAATTGTCTTCCAACCATCTCTAACACCCGTTAGCATTGCACGACGTGGTAATCGGTGTTCAGGCACACGTAACACGTTGCCCAACCATCTCAGTCGATGAATTGTGGTCCCGTGATACAATCAGTGAGATTTATGTTGTCTAATTAGAAATTTATAGAATACTAAAACCAGACTGTATATATATATATATATATATATATATATATATATATATGTTTTAAATAGAGGTATTAAGGTAAGAACTCCGCCTGGAGTCCCTTCGGGGGCTACTGCCAGTCCCAAGCCCGGATAAATGAGGAGGGTTGGGCATGGGGTTAGCGTCCCCATCCCGTAGAAAACTAACTCGCTAAAAAAACGCTAACCAGAAAAAATTATTCAAACATTTTAAACTCTGCCCTGGGAGTCAGAAGGTCTTCATTTAGAAGAATTATGACGCCTCATGATGAAAACCGAATTCCTTCGGAAGTTACGAGGCCGATGCCCCTTCTGACAACCAGAGCGACCATTTATTTAGGTACATGGAATGTTCGTACAATGTGGGACACCGGGAGAGCCTTCCAAATTGCTGCAGAAATGAGAAGATACAACCTAGAGGTACTTGGGATCAGTGAAACACATTGGACACAAGTTGGACAACAACGACTAACTACAGGAGAGCTCCTGTTATACTCCGGCCATGAAGAAGAAAATGCACCACATACACAAGGAGTTGCATTGATGCTGTCCAAACAAGCACAAAATGCACTTATAGGATGGGAATCTCATGGACCAAGGATCATCAAAGCCTCCTTCAAAACAAAGAAAGAGGGCATTTCAATGAACATCATCCAATGCTATGCGCCTACCAACGACTACAATGAAGACGCTAAAGATCAATTCTACAATAGGCTGCAGTCAATCATCGAGAAGTGCCCAACAAAGGACCTGACCATTCTGATGGGAGATTTCAATGCCAAGGTTGGAACGGACAACACTAGATATGAAGACATTATGGGACGACACGGACTGGGAGAAAGAAACGAAAATGGTGAGAGATTTGCAAATCTATGTGCCTTCAATAAGCTGGTCATAGGCGGCACCGTATTCCCACATAAACGCATACACAAAACCACATGGACTTCACCGGATCACTACACAAAACCAAATCGACCATATTTGCATCAACAAAACGTTCAGGAGGACTATAGAGGACGTGAGAACCAAGAGAGGTGCTGATATAGCATCAGACCATCACTTGCTGATCGCCAAGATGAAATTGAAACTCAAGAAGCACTGCGCAACGGGGCGGACAACATCACAAAAGTTCAATACGACCTTACTTCAGGATAGAGACAAACTCAACAAATTTAAGATAGTCCTCAGCAATAAGTTCCAGGCCTTTCATGATCTACTCGATGGAGAAGGAACTACTGTGGAGAGCAACTGGAAGGGGATCAAAGAGGCAATCACTTCAACATGTCATGAGGTTCTGGGTCACAAGAAGCACCATCACAAGGAATGGATCACTGTTGATACACTGGATAAGATTCAAGAAAGGAGGAACAAGAAGGCAGCAATAAATACCAGCCGAACAAGAGCAGAAAAAGCCAAGGCACAAGCTGAATACACAGAAGTAAACAAGCAGGTGAAGAGGAGCATTAGAACTGACAAACGTAAATATGTGGAAGACTTAGCAATGACGATGGAAAAGGCTGTAAGAGAAGAAAACATGAGACAACTGTATGACACGACAAAGAAACTCTCTGGAAATCACCGTACACCAGAACGACCAGTGAAAAGCAAGGAAGGCAAGGTAATCACCCACATTGAAGAGCAACAAAACAGGTGGATAGAACACTTCAAAGAACTCTTGAATCGACCAGCCCCACTGAACCCACCCAACATCGAAGCAGCACCCACGGACCTCCCAATCAATGTTGGCCCACCAACAATTGAAGAAATCAGCATGGCCATCAGACAAATCAAGAGTGGCAAAGCAGCAGGACCGGACAACATCCCAGCAGAGGCACTAAAAGCAGACGTAGCGGCAACTGCAAGGATACTCCACATTCTCTTCAATAAGATTTGGGATGAGGAACAAGTACCAACAGACTGGAAAGAAGGATTTCTAATCAAAATACCGAAGAAAGGCGATCTCAGCAAGTGTGATAACTACAGAGGCATCACTCTTCTATCAATAGAAGGAAAAGTCTTCAACAGGGTATTGTTAAACAGGAAGGACTCCGTCGACGCCCAACCTCAAGACCAACAAGCAGGATTCCGTAAGGATAGATCGTGTACAGATCACGAACAGACCAAATCGCAACTCTACGGATCATTGTGGAACAATCAGTTGAATGGAATTCATCACTCTACATCAACTTCATTGACTACGAAAAAGCATTTGATAGCGTGGACAGAAAAACAATATGGAAGCTTCTTCGACACTACGGCGTACCTCAGAAAATAGTCACTATCATACAGAATTCCTATGATGGATTAAACTGCGAAATTGTGCATGGAGGACAGTTGACAAAGTCGTTCGAAGTGAAGACCGGTGTTAGGCAAGGTTGCTTACTCTTACCCTTTCTCTTTCTCCTGGTGATCGACTGGATCATGAAGACGTCAACATCTGAAGGGAAGCGCGGGATACAATGGACATCTAAGATGCAGTTGGGTGATCTAGACTTCGCAGATGATCTGGTCCTTCTATCCCAAACGCAACAACAAATGCAGGAGAAGACGAACAGTGTGGCAGCAGCCTCAGCAGCAGTAGGTCTCAACATACACAAAGGGAAAAGCAGGATTCTCCGATACAACACAGCATGCACCAATCCAATCACAATTGACGGAGAAGATTTGGAAGATGTAAAAACCTTTACATATTTGGGTAGCATCATTGATGAACAGGGTGGGTCTGATGCAGATGTGAAGGCGCGGATCGGCAAAGCAAGAGCAGCATATTTACAACTGAAGAACATCTGGAGCTCAAAGCAACTGTCAACCAACACCAAGGTCAGGATTTTCAATACAAATGTCAAGACAGTTCTACTGTATGTGGCAGAAACCTGGAGAACTACAAAAGCCATCATCCAGAAAATACAGGTGTTTATTAACAGTTGTCTATGCAAAATACTTCAGATCCATTGGCCGGTCACTATTAGCAACAACGTACTGTGGGAGAGAACAAACCAGATCCCAGTGGAGGAAGAAATCAGGAAGAAGCGCTGGAAGTGGATAGGACACACATTGAGGAAAGCACCGAACTGCGTCACAAGACAAGCCCCCACATGGAATCCTGAAGGTCAAAAGAAAAGAGGAATACCAAAGAAAACATTACGCCGAGAACTGGAGATAGACATGAGAAAAATGAACAAGAATTGGATGGAACTAGAAAAGAAGGCCCAGGACAGAGTGGGTTGGAGAATGCTGGTCAGCGGCCTATGCTGCATTGGGAGTAACAGGCGTAAGTAAGTAAGTAAGTAAGTATTAAGGTAAGATTTATGAGCTTGAATGTTTTAATAATGTCTATCGGAATATATAAATTTTCATTACAAACCAAACTTAGTCGAATAATCACTAAAAACCAGAAAGCAGTAGATAGCTAATACATCCTAATACGTGGGCTACTGTTCTTAAGCTGTAAAGCACCCAGTACACTACCAGGAATCGAATTGAGAACCCTTAGTTCATGTGATGAGTGTTTAATTTTTTTGAACCACTGATTCGGTAAATAATAGTTAGTATTTCTGAGTAATCGAACAGAACGATCATCAAATAATGATTAACTTGTCTTTCACAAAATGCGCATAATGTATACATAGTAACAAAATAAATTATGTATTCAAATATGTAGTAGACTTTTAAGTATAACATGACAGTACTGATGATGTATAGTAATGCTAATGAACAATTTATACGGTAAGAAATCAGAAAACCTAGTGTATAGATAAGTAACTTGTATCAGTTCCAACTAATTGATCATGTAGTATCTCAATGATAATATACACATAGAAATTAATAAATTAAATTCACCTTTTTGCTTTTTGTAGCATATATTCAGAAATTTCAACACCATAAACATGACCATCATTTTTAAATGTATTGGATTTATTAGTTGATGTTGAAAAAGCATTTTCTAGTATAAATTTAATTCGTGAAGATTTCCAATGGTTCATTGTTACAGGAGCAACGCATTCAGCAGCTAATTTAATACCATAACCTTGTCCAAATCCAATTTCTAATACATCATCACCAGGTCTTAAGAAAATTAGAATTGAATAATTTGTGTAATCAGACAACACTAATTTTATTTATAATAAATTACGTTGAAAATTTTAAAGTAGAAAGTTTATTTATTTATTTTTCAATATAGGAATCATGAACTGATTCTCACACGAAGGATTGTACACTGCTGAAGTGTGTCATACTAGGACGAAACGACTGCTCAATGCTTTCAGGTTTTCATTAGTGGTTTAACTTAGATCAGTTCATGATTTCTATAAAATTCAAGCAATTTTTACAACCTAATAATAAATTTTTTAGTCAAGTTGAATTGTGCCTAGTAGTGAGATGGGATTGAACAGATGAATATATTTATATTACAGTGATGATGTTTACATCGGAACTTAAACCCAGAACCTTTTGCTTCAAACGTTCAATCAGTCATCTACTGAGCTCAAATCCTTACTAATAGTGATATAAACATCATACCGACTGAATAAGTTAGTAATTATCAGAACTAAGTAACTCAATGGATAAGGCGTTACCATTTGCTGCCTAATATATTAGGTACAAATCACCATGTGAACATAGACATTGGGATACATGGACGTAAAGCCGATGATTCTTAAGTAGGGCGAAACGGACATCCTGCAGTTCATTGTTGGTCACAACCCAAGTTTACTAGAACTTGAGGCCAAATTGTTATACCGAGGTAATCTGCTCAGGATTCACATACTCCATCAGAGACGAACCAACTGTAGTCCTGAATAACAACCATAGGAAGCTACAAACCCATACTAAGGAAATTAACATGTTAGTAGGTGTTTGCTGATACTATCGGGCAGTAAGCATTAAAAATAAATGACTCGACATTTAACCAACACATTACATGTTCAGACATCATTCTAACCACTGTTTTAAGCATACACGTAGTATAACTAGCCCTAAAATAACATGTGTTTCACAGTTAAGTACTTTGTCACTGAACTGCATCAATTAATTATGTAACTGAAATAATCAGTAACCAGGAATACAATACAATTTCGGGATATTATCCAACTGTTAGAAACAATGAGTAAAAAGTAAGAAACGCTCTATTTATTTATTTAAACACATAAACATTAGTACAACGAGGAACCAAATATATATGCGCCACATAAATCATTCGATTGGTGTAAGGGCTGGGATACTGCCCGGGTGCCCTAACCGAAGCAGGTGGTTTTTTAGGGGGCCATGCCCGGAACCTTTCACCTAAACTTCTGATCCACAAGACAGTGGAGCAACGTCAGGAGATGCAGTCTCATGGTAGCTGGTGACCAACGATTGAGTCATATGCCATTTGTTCCTCCAGGATCCAGGAGCCCATGTGCACCAATGGTTTGGAATCAGGGTTTTCCAACTCCCCTATGTAGATACTCCATATCTACCAACCCGGTTAATGTGCCGGACATTTGCTTTTCGTCCTCTCAATTTCGTAAACAACATCCCCGCCACGAGTAGGACTTCCCTAGCAGTGGTTGCATGAGATCATTTCGAGAGGGAGAGCCAACTCTCCCCACTCTCGGCCGTATCAAGGCATTTGGAGGCCAAAAACACTCTACGAACACAAACATTTCAATCTAGGAATATTTATTCACCAAACTTTAGAAGGCTTAGAGTTTGCTTATGACCACCGTTCAGTGGGCTAATATGATCCGAAAAAAACCATATTGATTTTGTATCATTATGTTAGAGTAAACAGACATATAAACGTTTAGTTGATGACATATTAAATATCTATTGTATTCAAGAGAATTAGTAAACATGATTTGTACCATGCATATCAGATAACAAAATACTGATGCACTATTAGGCATCTGGTCAATATAAGTTTTAACATATTTACACGCTTTACGTTAAAGTATTTTGATAATTAAAATATATTAATTTGAATCTACAATCACGAAACCAATGTATTAGCTCAACTGTAAGAGTTTCTATTTACAAAAATGTAAAGTATCTCGTTTTGTTTACCGATAATAATACGTTTAGAAATTAGATAATTTAACGCTAATTCTAAAAACTAATTAACATAAATCTAAAAATTAATAAAGATCAGGAAACATCACCCGTTCAACTCTCTCATGCTTAAACGGTATTTAAGTTAACCATCCTTTCTTCAGTACTCAATAAAAGTGAAATATCTAGCATTTTTTGAGGATTTTTCCTTTAATTTAGGTATCAGTGCTGTATATAAGAGTGTACTGAGGATTTCAATTTAATCATCTGAAGCCATGTCTTTTATGAAGACGCTACTGTAGCGCATTCCAACTTTTCGGATGGAAGAAGCAAATAAATTGGAAATTAGAGCTTGAAATAGAAACCTCAGTGGAAATTATGCTCTTATATTCAGTGCTCACCTACCAAGTAATGAACGGGAAAATGTTCCAAGATCCTAGATGCCACTAACATACTGAACATTTTGAAAAATGGACGCGTTACAAAGTCATGGACACGTATCGCATCTCGCTTAAACATACATATAATTTCCAAGTAACCCGAAGAAAATAACATCAATAAATTGAGGGACAAATAAGTCAAACGTATTCATTTTAAAAAAATATTTAGTTAATTTATTATGTAAAGTATTCGCTTAGTAATATCTTCCGTAAGTGATTATTCTTATTTATGAATTTGTTGGATGTAGAAGTTACATTCCTTGAAGTGAATTATTATATCGAAAAGAACATATGCTCATTTATAAATATAGTGTTCAGCAAGTATAAGTTCTTAGTAACAGTAACACAATGCTTAGATATGATTCTTTTAAGGGATCATATCCTATGGTTGTATCTTATCGACTTATTGTCACATCCTTCAATTGGAGTTGGGCGATTGTCCCAATCTGATACTGACATATATATAAGCGAAGCCAACTGAGTAAGAAGCTTGTATTGGTCGACACGAATTAAAACATATACATAAACTCACCCATTTAACATAGACATATGTCCCTAAGAAAATTAAACCAGATATCCAACCAATAGCGTACCTGTCTTCCACTCTCTCAGATAATGAATCTAAACGCTGAACAACAGGGTGAACCCGTCAGTATCTCTGATTTACCATTCAGCCTTAAAAAAACTGGTAGGTTTGATGAGTCCATTCCATCAGATATATATTCAGGTAATTTATATATTTCAGGATAATATAGAGCACATAATATTTTTAAAGAGATTGCATTTTAAAGTTTTACCAGGAAGAATTGAAGTCATTTCGATGAACTTGCTATTATAATAATAATTTCCTTTTTTTAAAAAAACACTTAGGATTTGCAAAATTAAATTATGTTTGTAAATGTTATTTGATTGTTTTTCTTTGTCTATTTGCCAATTATTGAATTATGAACTTGAGTTTGAACAAATTAAATGAGATTCGAACTGGTAAACTGTATCATTAGTCTTCGGGCAATAAATCTGGTTTATTTGTACATGGCTTCAAATTTATATGAATGATTCTGTTATTATTATCATTAGTTTTATTATTGGGATGCGTACTTTGTGGAGATTGTTCAAGTGATTACGTGGTAAACTTACTTTAGTGAGACAATCATTGGAAACTAGGAAGTACTGGATAGTTGTTTTTGTTGTTCATGTTGTGTCCATATCTCCACTGTTGGATTTCCAGTCCTATTTCTAATACTTGACAATCGTGAAACACTGTAATTCTCGTGACCCAAAGTTAGAACACAAAAAGACTGGTGGGAATAAAGTCTTATTGACTCATTAAAATTGCGTCCCCAAACCCATAGCTAACATAAGTCGTCTTTAGACATATACATACTCATTTATACACCGAATTTTACACACAATAATATGAAATACAAGGGAAAATACACCGAGTTACTATAAAAAAACACTGCTTATAGTACACCTGAGTTGACACGAGCAATGCAAATATCACTCTTCACCAGAGTTCATGTCATCTATATTGAACGGAGTTCATGTTGAATTGAAAAGAAAATATTGACTAGAAATAACGTTAGATTTAACCAGAGTTCGCACTTGTCACGCTGGACGACATTTACAGAAGTGATACACAAATCAATTGACCAGAAATAATGTCACAATTTTATTCCGTTATATGAACTGGTATTTGATGGCAAACGACCTAGAAGCGTTGCTCACGTATACTGAAACCATCGAATGAGTTAGGTACTAAATAGAGATACCAGATAAGCTGACGACTTAGTAGATTTTCATTAAATGATATGTTTGGTACAATGCAGTCACGTAAGTAGCCATCACTTGGCTATATTGTATTATTACATATCATTAATCATTAGGCGCATGTTACCTATTGGTTTGACAATCTCTCAATGACATTTCGTCACAACTCATAAAAGGCAAATTCATAACACAAATATATTTGTTGTAACTGATGGTCTGGATCAGTCCGATACATCGATTTAGGGCCAAATGATAAGTGAGAGATGCTGCTAACGGGTTCATGATACCAGTTAAGATATATATATATATATATATATAAATATATATATATATATATATATATATATATATATATATATATATATATATATATATATATATATATATATGAATGAGTCTGTTTATACACTGAAATTCGAGTTCGCTTCTTAATCAGATGCAACATAAAACCTGGCAAATGTGTACATCCGTTAAAAATGCTATACTCCATTAGCACATCGAGACGAAATTGTCAAGGCAAATCACAGAGTAGCAGAGGTAGAAATAATAATTAGTGGCAAGAGAGAAGATTAAGCACCCAAGATAAAATTTGAGAAAACAGAGATTAGTGAGATTATAAAAAGATTTATGCAGGATTTAGAAAATTAGGATCTACGAAAAGGTAGAGTAGACGCATTCGCACCATTGAAGACAATTTTGAGCCGTCATTCGAAGTTTCCAACTATCGGTTACGATAATCACACTGACCCTAACCACGCAGTTTGCACCTGCCTACATGCCTCAGTCGAATAGTGAGTTTCCTCCTGACCTGATGCCATGTCTTGGTAGCTTCTTACTCACTCTTGGTTTTCTCACTAAAGTAGCGAATCGGGTTCGCGTATATATCAGTATCAGACTAGAACGACCACTAAACATAATAAGCTTCAATTGTTCAAAATAAACAAAAACGAACAACATGATTAAAATACACTATGGAAAATGAGACTCCTATTAGTTGGATACAAAAGAATGGTTATTTATATCTGGTGTCAACACTTAGTAGAAATAACAACTGACTTATGAAAATAGAATAAATTGTTGCAAACAATCATAGATGAATAGTCCAAACGGCGATCGATTACAACCACTACAAATTATCTGTCATAAAGCCTATTCACTAACTATATGGTTATTTATAAGCAAAGATGGATAGTGGCTAGCAGTGGAATCCAGGACGCGCGTTTCGTCCTTTTTGGGGCTCGTCAGCTGGATGTACCTGCATCTCAGAGTTTATGTTCACTATCCATCTTTGCTTATAATGCTTGTAAATTAAGGCAATATCGAGGCATACGCACAGTATGCACATATGCCAATAAGAGACTGATCAATTTCAGTCCAAAAACATCAATGGGAAGATTCAAGTAACACAATATCAAGTGTATGTGGTTATTTGTTAATCGAACAATTAAATCGGTTTCAAGGCATCGCTGAAATCTCTTTCCAGGGTAAAAAAAAGCTATTAAAATGCAAAAGTTATTTATCTGTTCAAATAGTTGTATCGTCCCACGATGGAAGGACATGACTTCAAATAAAAAATCCAACAGCTGGACCAGTGACAGTTTTTATCAAATAAAACCCAAAATAACTAAGTATCGATAGACTAATGTTGCCTAACATGGATAAGGTGTTCAATTTATGGGTTATTTTTACCATTACTATTATTATTATTAATTATATTACAAAGATCAGGAAATAAGATCAGATCAGACGGTTGTTGATAAAGAACTAAATACCAAATATGCAATGAACAGTACAAAGTTATATTTTTGGTCTTTACCTAAACGAATGACTGTTGACTGACAAGTTACACTATACATATAGATCATAAAATTTTGCAGAAAAATCCAGTGACAGTAATTCTGCTTATCCCACATGTGGCCAGCAATACCCTCAAGATTTCAGGTACACCTCGTTGACGTGTGCCAACTAGAAAGGAACAGGGGTATGGTATTTCATATTTTTGGTTAAAGACATTGGATGACATGGCTCAGAATGGCTACAATGGAGTAGATACACTCGCTATTTGTTGACCTTCAGATCATGAGTTATAGATGCAAACATCATTATTCTAACATAGGTTTAAAAAGCTAGTTAGTACCACCAGACTTGAAGCTTAAGGTTGAATGAATGAGAATCCTCACTTGAGCTACGATACGCTGAACCAATCAGACATATCAAGTCAAAAACAAATGACTGGCGAGAGATGCTAACGGATGCACGTTATTGGCCAAAATTTAACTGGACGTTCTGAGTAAACATATACATATTATTACGTTGAATGCATATTATCTTTTCGTGCTAATCAATGAAAGTTTACTACTCACCCTTATATGAAACTTTCTATAGATCACTAAATCCTATTGTCCTCAATAGAAAAAAAGGGCTTACTATCCTACTGATTTGGACCATCTATTCGAGCTAACATCTCACATTATTACTATACGTACAAATTTCAATTTCTTCTTTTGAAGGCGGCCTGGTTGAATATCTGAGCTACCTCTACCTGCCATCTGGATATTTCAACTAGTTACCAGTTTTCTTGTTTGTTTTAACATATCATTATATATATTAGTCGCATAACCTACTCAGGTGCGTTTAAGAAAAGTTTACTACATTTCGCTGTACATGTTACAAAAGAGCACAATCAGAGACATTGTGGTTGCTGGCAATATGCATCGAAAAAAATATACATTAATCAGATGTCGATTCTTGAACTGCTAAAGTCTAATTAGTGACCACTCAATCTTTATCACAAGGGTCAATCAAGAAATAAAACTTGTTGAAATACTTTGTGCTGAGAATTCTATATTGTACCAAAAATAGAATATTGAATAAAGCCACCAATAATAATAATAATAGTAATAATAATAATAATAATAATAATAACAATAATAATAATTTACGTAATGAAATACCTAATTGAGTTTCAGAATATTAGAAGACTGTATATAATGCTAGTAGACTTAGACAATTGTAGAAATAGAATAAATTAGAAGAAAATGAAACAATTGAATTTGATAAAAAAAGATAATGAACTTACTTTAAATTACATGCATCAATAGCTGCAGCGGTTAATAGTTTATTTTGTTTTTTTAATTTGTACTGATATAGATATCTTGAATATAAATTAGGTATAGGTTTCTTTAAACTATACGAAAATTGATGAGTGAAATGTTGACGTAATTTATTAGCCTATTGTGAATGATTAAAATAAAAGCAAGAATTTAAATATGTATATAAGTAGTCTAAGGAGATAATAAGTTCAGAAGAAATGAATGAAATGTGTTAGTAAAAGTATTCTTGGATAATATAACAAAATAATACAAAAAGAATTTTCCAACTACAAAGAAATGCGAATAGATGAAACTTTCTATATATTACTAAATCCTACTGTCCTCAATAGGAAAGAAGAGGGGCGATTGATTATGAATACAGTGATCTTGAGTGCTATTAGAGATATGCGGGCAGTTATTATTTCCCGGTTGCCCACACCGTAGAAGGGTCCTTTTGTGGAGGAGGAGGTTCTAATGAAGGACTTACTATCCTACTGATTTGAACCATCTATTCGAGCTACCATCTCAAACGATTACCAAACATACAAATGTCACTCTATCATTTTACATTACAAATGTCATATTTTTCACTTATTAACACACACAAATACACAAGTATATCTCATAAAAAATCGCATTGACTGGAATGACATGACATTTTTTTAGATTGATCGTAATAAATATTTTTGCTTTGTCCCTTTTTATTATTTAAACTTGGGTTACTTCAATTTGTTTATCCTCTGAAAAAATTGGCTAAGAATGAGTAAAGAAACGTCAGGAAATTTAATTTTTCTACTCATTGGGATATTACAAATATATTAGTAGGTTATTAGTGGGTTGGAGAATGCTGGTTGGCGGTATATGCTCCGTTGGGAGTAACAGGCGTAAGTAAGTAAGTAACAATCAACCCAATACTCAATCTATTTGGCATTATTATTTCAAACCTTGGTAATGATATCGATAACATATATTTACACCATAAGTCTCATGTAATAATCAAATGCATTTAAGTCTATGTACTCAGTTTTCAGCCACTTGTTTTTTTATGTATAAGACAAATTATAATACTTGGCTGGTTAAAACGAAACAGATCACGTGTGGTTCAAATCGATAAAGTGAGGTTCTTATTGAAATAGATCAGTATTTGAACTCTGCTCAAGAATATGAAAACAAGATGAAACATTTAGGAAGATGGTCCACAATAAGAATAGTTTTTCTACATATACAACGGCTGGGGTACCTCGTTTTCTGCAAAGAGAACTCTTTCTTATGTACCGAAATTGGGTGAACTAAGTAGATAACATGATTAAATAAGAACTAATTGAATAAAAGTATATGCTATAAAAATGGTTCTCATAAATATACGACATTTTTTTTACTTATTCATACGTGGATAACTGAAGAGCATTCATTTTAGTCAACAAGGTTAATTTGAACAATCTCGACTAAATATGTCCAGATACATATGAATCTAATTGAGAAAAAAAGGTTACTCAATATAATATAATCAGTTTTATAGTTACCAGATAAAAATCAGTAATCTGGATTTATTATCTATTTTTAGTAGGTTTTAAGTAAGAAAACTAACATCATAGGAAAAATACTACTCCAACACATGACTCTGTCAATCATCCATTATTCCTATTTCATCAAAGTTGACTAGTACTCACTAGATTGTTATTTAGATGACAGGATAATTTTGGCTTTTATAGAGGGGGGAGGAGGGTCAAGATAATTTTGAATGGATTAATTAACCGTTTCAGATTTCGTTTTACAAGCACATATATTGAAGACTGAACGAAGATTATCCTTTTTTCATTTTTATGGTGTGAATCGCGAAAATTCTGTCTGGAAGACAAGACATGTGATAAGAGTAGTTAGTTTCGATGATTTGCATAGTTAGCTATTATTTTCAAACAAATGGCTAAGTGCTACCACATAACAGAAGATATAATACATTCTACTCAGTTAAAATTTTTAATTAACCCAAAACTAATTTGAATTGAAGCTTATGGTTAGATGATTTTGACTGCCTTTGTGAACAAACGAATCTACTAGTACAAGAACAGGTGAAATTGAGGAACTTGGCAAGCTATTCTCTGATGCTTCAGCATCTGAATTTTTGATGTGTGCTTATTAACTGCTTCAAGGTATTCTTTGTGTACCCTTAATTGTAAGCTTTTATTCGGGACGTTAATTTTTGATATACAATTTGTCTGTCGTAAATTAATATTTGCAAGAGTATATGGTGAAAGTATAACATACGGAAGAGTCAATCAAAATCGGGAAAACTGTTAAGATTTGCGCAAAATCCGAAAATGACTTTTATCTTATATTTCATATAAGTCCAGTTCCTAAATTCAACTACATTTTCCGAACTGAACCTTAAGTCTCCGGTTCTGAATATATAACTCTAACCATAGATAATATGAAGACTCTTAAAGATCTTTTTGCGTCCTTGTGAGGTTTATAGAAGACGGATATCCTACACGCATAGTGACGAATTTGTGACTTTATCTTCTCAATTTACAGACAGAACCTTTGGATAACTTTATTAAACTCAGTATTTATGTATAATTTGCTTATGTTTTGCAATATTGTTCTTTTCTTCTCCCCAAACCATTCAATTGCATAAGCTATTTCCTGATTGGTTAAGGACCAGTTGAAAGTTGTTTGGTTATTTTAAGCCCATGTTCTTACCAGTAAAAGTTATCCATTTTTAAGTTTTTCCCAAAAGCCTTGTAACAGCGCTCTCGATCTTAAGTGGCTTATCCCTACATTAACACTTAACATAAAAATCAATTAGTTACAAATCTGTTATTCGGTTTCCCATTATATCGTAATTTTCTACATGCTTAGGCTTATTATTTCTATCATTAATAAACTCATGGGACAATAGAGAAATTTTATATATATATATGGTTGGAGTATTGAAATTTCCAGTGCTGATTAGCTAATTTTATATAGGACTAAACAGAAATGACTGTAGAACGATATCATGATGACTACATGAATTTAGTTTCAAATTTTTGTATAAAACAGCAACTAACCGGAAGGATTCATAACCTTCCTATTTTTTTCGAGTTCATGTTTCCGTTGTCTTATAGCCCTATGACTAACTTGTATTGCAAACAAAATACTAATGTCACATGTTCGGTAACAGTCATATAAAATAGGAATTCGAAATCGTTTTATACGAAGTAAACTTATTGATATTATATTATTTTACGGGAAAATACACACTGACTAACTTCAATTCATACCAATAAAATAGTTTTAAACGATGTTCATAACAGAGATTTAGATACTGTATAATCTTCCGGTTGACGGACCGTTTCAGCCTTTAATTCACAATGTGCACTTCCAGATTTTTTAAACTACTTATATAGTTCGCCAAATTTATTTTAAATGAACAAACTGTGATATAAAAGCAGAAACGCATCAGAGCACTGAAGTCATCTACACCAAACAAATCTAATAGTAGTACCGCCTACATAACTAACCATTGCGAAACTTATGAAATTAATAGCCTGACCTGACACGGTCAAGTCTGAACAGCACATATACTCTACCATTTAGTGAAGGAAATCGTAGAGTATTAAACTCAAATGTAATAAACAACACATATCTACACCAATAAGCGAAAGGGCTTGTTCATTCTGATTATACACAATTACAAATGAATAATTCAACTAAACATTTGATGTGATGTGAATTTATCTTAATGACATCGGCATTCATTTCTCAACCATTAAACTTTTCGCATAAACAATTAATCCATTTTAAATTATGTAACTTAACAATATTTCTTACTTATTTAAACACATAAACACTCGTACAACGAGGAACCAAATATTATGCACTACACAAATGATTCGATTTGTATGATGGCTGGATTACTGATCAGACGCCCAAACCGAAACAGGTGGCTTTCTTAGGGGGCCACACCCCAAGCCTTCGACCTAAAGGTCTAATCCATAAGGCAGTGGAGCAACGTCAGGAGTTGCAGTCTCATAGTACTCGATGACCAACAATTGTTTCATACGACATTTGTTTCCTTAGGATCCTGGAACCCATATGCACCATTGGTTTGGAGTCAGGGTTTCCCAACTCCCCTAGGTAGATCCTCCGTATCCATCAACCCGGTTAATGTGCCGGAAATTCGCTTTTCGGCCTCAGTTTCATAAACAACACCCACGCTACGAGAAGGCAGTGAGTAGGACTTCCCTGGCAGTAGTTGTATGTACGTGGTCATGTGAGAACATTTCGAGAGGGAGAGCTGACTCTCCCCACTCTCGGTATTTGGGGGCAACTTAACAATAAACTCTTACTAGAACCCATTTAGGGTTACTACCTGTCGCAATCCCCGATAAAGGAGTAAGGCTGTCCATAGGGTCGGCAACTCTATCCCATAGAAAACCTTGCTGAAAACGTTAAACAGAAAAAAACCATTTGAACTCTGCCCTAGGAGTTAAGGGATTTAATGATAGATGTGATTCATGTGTAGATATTTGGATTTTTATTAGGTTAAAGTTGCATTTATTTATTTATTCCGAATTAGTGCAATTTATATAAGAAATATCACTTGAAGGAAAAAGTATTATTATCTTTATCACTAAACATATCACTACATGTAAACTGGTATCTTCCAAATCACTTCTGATGCAACACATCTACGAAGAGCATACATTCGTATATTGCAAGCCTTGAACTACATTACTGGCTAGTGATAACCAGTTGTTTAAACCGAAATGAAGATGCGTTCAAACTTATAACCCAGTAACTGTGAAACAGAACAACTTTATACATTAAGCAATTACTTTATCTCATAAGTATTGATTATAAAATAATAACCAGAACAGAATAGCTAGTGCCTTAGCAATGGTAAAAGATTTTTACTAATTTGCAATTAAACATACACGACTAGTGTCTCTTAAATTCTGTGATAGTTAAAAAAAATTATAAGTGGAAGTGAAGATGAAAGTACACTAAAGATAACGTAGTGGGCTAACATATATATGGACTTTCTTAGACATGGAAACAATATTCTATAGCTTTTACATAAAATGTGTAACTATATCCAAATCAACAGAGGTTGAATAGTTGAGTTACACGTTTTGCGAGACGGCTAATTTAAAAAATGTCCTACTTAACAAATATAGCAGAATTTAGACAGTTTGACACAATAGGGGAGTACCTACCGAAGTTATAAGGCAGAGCAACCTAACAAACAGCTATAATACTTACATGAACAAAAAAATCCCAAGTTAACAAACAACTAAACAGAGATGTTATTGAGTAGCATAAACTTCATACAAATATCAGGGAAAAGAAGAGTAAAATTAGAAAAAAATCATTTATATAACACAACTTGCTACTGATACAAATGGAAATGTAACAATCCAAGAAGTTTTGTATTTTCGCCAAACAGATTTGTACTTTCACTGAAAGTGAAATTAGGTTTATTTTTATGATAATATGATAACTGATCTCTTCCATAATGATATTGTATTTTTGTTCAAAATGCGAACAAAAATGTAAGATCACTACGCAAGTTCAACGCATGGTGTTGAAGAATATTCCGGTTTAACCTGAAAAACAAACAAACAACAATTGTATGCTTGATTCAATAAATAGAGAAACAATGCAACAAATCAATTTACTCAATACGTTTGTGTTATAAATTGCTAATATGCTCACGTCTCGACACTGTCGTTATTTTAGACTGGTTTTGGGACATGTTCTGCACTACTCTTTATCAACTCACTTAATACGACCATCAGTATCAAAGAAACCGCAACGCTACTTTTTAACTATTTCGGTAACCATTCACATAAATACAGATGGAACAATTCAAATGCATACACCTAAATTCATAAATAGTATTCACATTTCCGCATTAGTATGGGCAACTTTATCGGACCACCAGAGGTAGTGATAATCCACAAAGAATTCAGCATAATTAGATATCATTTTGGAACTGATTTTACATATCTTACTTCGGCACTTGATTCAACACTCAGACGACAAAAATTCAGCTTACAGGTAAATGCACCATATTACTGGCAACCGAAATTCAGAAGCATTTATAAATCTATTCAGATATATGATGACTATAATTACTAGCTAGGGCCATACCAATATTGAAATTTCGTAGGTAGTTTGAATAGCTATTTAACCAGAAGTTTAATGAAACCTAATTTAAATAGATATGATAAAAATAAGCATAAGACTAAAATTGCTACAATTATTAGAACGGTAATCATCGACTACTCTACAACAGCCTGTTAGATAGAATAGCTTATAGAAACGGGTGTATTTTGTGGAGCAATGGTTAAGTGATTAAGGCGTTCAACTTCTAGTCAGTGAGTCACTGTTACGAACCCCGCTTCACCTAATCCCGCGATTGTAAAACGGTCTAGTATCACTAAACTTCACACTTAGTGTGTGGCTACAAACCAAGTACAAGGATCAGTATATGGTAAACAGGTTACATGAGAGGGGAGAAATTGGAAATATATCAACTACATCAGCAGCTTTAAACATACTGTGACAAATATTTTGAGAAAATAACCTTTATTTACCTTGAAGGGAGGACCATAAGCAGGGACTACCCAATCAGCTCGCTCTAAAATAGACATACGGCTTTGACGCCAACCGTTGATCAAATTTTCTTTGTCACAGTTACTTTCTCCATAATTCCCTTCCAGCGTGTCAAGAAAGCTTACACGACTAGCATCTTGAACATCCATAAACAAGTTCCCAGTAACAGCTATACGACATGATTCTCGACACTCACCAGTCTTCAACTCTATAAGACGACCATTTACTATCAAACTGACTTGTGGACCTCTCTGACCAGGAGTTCCGATAACACAAAACTGAAAAAATGTGAAGAGCATATTTGAAATTATCAGTTGAATCTCCTCATTTCAATCAAGTTATGAAACCATAAGCGAGGAAATCTACTTCAACGGAATGTGTTAATATAATTTTGTAGATCTATTTATTCTCATCATCCGTTTTTCATATGCAGTTCAGTTCGGCCTATCTTATGCATTGACTAATGAAAACGATGAATTGATGATAACAACTGACAAATTAAATAAGCAAGGTGGACTTACAAGTAACAGTATTTTAGCAATCAATAGCTTTAATAAACCTTAGGTTGGGAGGACTATGAGAATTTAAAGTCACACGAAACAATTAAGGTAACTAATAAAAACGGATATAATTTGTGACTGAGTTTCCGTTACTATTTAGTCACACAAACAAGTCGCGTTTCCAAACTACCTTTACTTTTCAAACATAAAGAGGGAAGTACCAAGATATCACAAAAGGGCATTTGAAATTTGTTAGCGGGACACAGATTGGATTAAAGCATGGTCAATGCACGACTGCTTTGGTGAACGCTGATTGGCTAATTCTTATCCAATCAGCGCTAGTCGATACCTGGAGAACAATCTAGAAATCTTCTCGTGTAAAAACTATAAATATACTGGCGTTTTTCCTATTGTGCTTCTTAATTGCGACTTGCTTCTATCTAACCTTGTTATTTGGAATATAATCTCTTTCCTGTTTAACCGTGTTCTGATTTGGGGACTTGTCGAGTGAATTGGTGTCCAAGAATACTAAGCAATAGGAATAGCTGGGTTATACCGTAAAAGAGTATTATAACAAAATCATTTCAGTTATTGAAAGGGATTTACGCTAATAACATTTCGATATAGTACTAATATTGTACGGTTAGCCGTACAAAAGTTGTAACAGTAAGGTCCCTATAATTAATATAAAACATCTCAAGTGATGCGGCCTAGTAACAAGTGAAAGCAATAGCTGCAATAGATTAGTTCCAGAAACAACAAGTACACTACCCCAAGGACACTCGATGTTTGATATAAGGATTGGAATGGAAGGCACCCAACTTTACGGGACCGAAAACAATTCACAAAACGTCGTGTGAACACCTAGTAGATTTTTTATGCTACATGGTTGAATTCTCAAACCCATCAGACCAAAATAAAAACAGTACGTTTCCCAGTAAAGTGAGCTTTTATTATGTAGACAACCCGGAAGCTCTAATTCTCTGCACACAACTAGCAGTACCTGAGTTCATTTCATTTAACAACGTCTAGCTCCGCTTTTGTCCCACTAAGCTTTTAAAAGGATGAAAAAAGCAACTTAAATGTAAACAGACATACAACCCACACAGTAGTGATGGGCAGCGGAAGCAAGACATTATGATAGGCAAAACTAGAAATTATCAAGTACACTGATGGCCAAAACGTTATAAGTTAGAGGATCTAATATCGAGAACTGAACGGTGATCTATGATAATTTAAAATCACTGGGACGATTGGGTATTTCGAGTAACTGTTTAAATGGCTTTCAGCTACTTCTGAACTGCGATGAAATTTATTTATTTATTTGAACACATAAATATTGGTGTAAAGGGGTACCGAATATATATATGCACCACATAAATCACGATTTTTGTGTAGGCTGTGATACTGCCCGTGTGCCAAAACCGAAGCAGGCGGTTTTCTTAGGAGGCCACACTCCAAGTCTTCGACCT